CCATTTATAACTGATGGATTTCACGGGAGATCAAGTGACAGCAAGTTTTCTCATCAACCAAACCTTCTTTTCTGTATTTCTAGCAGTTTTCAATAATGTCATTGTCCGAATGGTTTTCATGAATTCTCAGATTTATATTTTCTCCAGCCTTTTCACTTGGCTTTTTGTGATCGTTTTTGTTATTATTATTATTATTATTATTATTATTATTATTATTTCCTTTGATGTCCGTTGTATACACATTTCTTTCGAGTCCCAACCAGAGATCTAAGGTCAGAAATGGCTCCATGACATTTTCCACAGATCATTTTGTAAAAAAAAGAAAAGAAAAAGAAATAAAACAAAAGATTACACACATTCTATATAGATGAAGCTCTTCTTAAAGTGTGAATTGTGAATCCATTTTTTTGTATTTCTTAAAGGCATGAATCCGTTCAATGAGTTTATCGGAATCTTTTTCAATTAATCCGAGGGCTCCAACTTCAACTAGAATTATTGATGTCTTCATGTGCCAAATTTTTGAGATTTCGATTTTAAGTTCTTTGTATTTTGATAGTTTTTGAATATCATCAAATATCCATTACAATCTGCAGGGAAAAAATTGTGACAGATCCTATCTCCGTAACCGGATCTGGGTGATTTTCATTCCAATTCCTTGGCGTTTCCTTCCCGTAAATTATTATTATTATTATTATTATAATTATTATTATTGTCAGGATCATCATTATTACTACAGATAATCTCTTCACGTTGTCAGTGTAACCATTATTAATATTATTCTGAATGTCACATGAAACTGTTGTTGTGTAAATGTCTTGAGTACCAGAGAAGATACTGACTGTTAAGTTACAACAAGGACCTCACACAGTACTTTTCGAAGTTGTGTTGTCGTATAAAAGAAGCCAAATTTTCAGAAAGTGTATTTTACACAGATTTGATCGGCATATTCTTTAAATTTTAATGGGATAGAGGTGAGTGTCGCAGTCATTGACCAATGATCGGATCATTCAGCACCATCCCTCCAGCAAATCCCAAAATCACTCATCGCAAGACTAAGAGAATGACTTTAACATTTTTCCCGGCATTATACACAATCTGGCACAAAACAGTTGTTGACCTTTTCTAATTGCTTATTATTATTACTTGAAAAATATTTTTGAATCTGCATTTGTTTTAGGGCAAGCGAAGCATGTGAAGTTTTTGTTGTTTCCACTTAAACAAAAGACAGCTATCAACAAAAAACTTCAATAGTCAAAGCTCTTCGTAGGATATATGGACTGTGCTTTTTAGAATTGTTTTGGATTTCCTGGATAAATGATTCTCAAGGGATTTTGTTGATTTGTCGTTGAGTTCCTTTTTTATCAGATCCAAAAGACAGTTTTTAAGTGCCATATTTTTTTCTTTGAATTTGTTTAATTTTTCAAAAACTTTCGTAGAGATGTTTTTATCTCTTGCTACGCTCATGTCAATCAATGTGAAAACTTTTCTTTTGCTTTTTTGTTAATAATGTCTGGGCGATTTGCTTGTACTCTTCGATCTGTGCCGATAGAAATATCCTAGAGGATGTAACATCTGCCGCATTAACTGCAGATTCAGGATGATTTTCACACCAGTTTACAGATGTTTTTATCCTGTAGTGATGACAGATCTTCGAATGCAGTTATTTAGCTACCCTGTCATGACAGTTTTTGTACTTGTTGGGCGTGAGTATTGAGCATTTTTCGATCAGGTGATCAATCCTTTCAATGTAGTGGCCTCAAAACCTACTTTTTGGGTCCATACTATTATGCAATATGTTAACTTGGTTGTCGCGTGTAGATAAGCTCTAGTTATGTGCAGCAAGAATAAACCGCTTAGTCTCACTCTTAAGTCCTGAAATCCTCAATTACTGGTGAGTTGCGAATTGACTTCGGAGAAGGAACTGGACATAGAAACAGGAAACGAAAAAGCTAGGCCAAGTTTTCTTGCTGATTTTGTGGCAGTTGTTTCTATTTCTATTTTATTTTCAAGATTTAACCCGAATTCTCTTGCCTATTTATGGGATGCTTTTAATCCAATATAAAACCTTTTATTTTTTCATGCTTTATTAATAGTTTTAACAACCAATCTTGTATAACTTTCAAGATACTTACAAAGTTCATTACTGAAATTTTCTAAGACAATTCCAGTTGAATCATGGCTCTACTCCATTGCCTCTTGGCAGATACAGACGGTCAGCATCTGCCTGAGAGTAGTGCATCTTATTGCATGTGAATTTTTGCATGAAATTTTTAGAGTTTCTGTAAGTTCTAATTTATTATGTTGAGACTATAATAAGTTACAACTGGGGTATCAAGTATTAATGGCTGTTATGTTTCAATTCAGTTTTTATTATTACTTGCCAGATACAAACCCTTTCTGTGTTTTTCTTTCATCTTCGAATGCTGCATTTCAGTGTCAATTCCTTTGTTTATCAGACCGAGTTAAGATAAACATTATTTAATTACAACCGTAAATAAATACTTAACAAGAACAAAAAAAAAAAAAGAAGTCAACCAAAGATAACCAATTCAGTGAATACCTCGTTAGTAGCATGGTTTGGCTTAACGTCCGGTAAATCAAATCCCAAATCATCAACGCATAATAATTCACACTAATTCGACTGGATAGTTCCACTTAATAGTCACTCAATAATCACCTCTCACCGGTAGTCTGACACCGCTATTTATACACCTGGAATAAAATATATTCTTAAGTCCAGAGTGTCACGCTCGAACTTCAGTGTCGGGAGTTACTCATTTTCTTCCTATATGACAGTTACTGAGTCCGAATGATGCACATTTTCCTCTTTTTTGCTTTTTTTTCTTATTATTTTCCTTAGATATTTTTTAATGAATTATCAAAATCACCATTGGTATAATTGTTTCCGTTATCGTCACTTTGATCACCGGCCACAGTATTAGTAACACTTTCCTCACTTCAATGTAGTCACAGTTAGATACGCCATCTGCTGGAGAGAAGAATGTTATTTGTAACACATTAAAAAGAAATAATAATATAAAAAGACGATTTGTCCGAAGTCTCTTGCAAACCATGTTAATCTGATTTATTAAAATGAAAAGCGTAAATACAATTATGAAATAAAAAAAAACTAAATAAGAAATAAAAGATTCATTGCATTTAAAAACAACGGAAGAAAATAGAACGCAGGCATTCTTCATCTGAAATAAATAGGTTCACACGTCTGAGTACAACCACGCAAACACTTAAGCACATCCATATATATATGAAAACTTATAATTGTACATTCATGCTCAAGAAGACAAATGCACACACATACACAAATACGTTCAGTCATTCACAAGACGACATATACAGGTACACATTCATAAAGTGCGCACATTCGTACACACATAGACACATATAAATATATATGTTTACTCATATACACATTTATACGTATGCACTGGCAAATGCATAATCATGTAGGTACATAATGAAATAAAAGGCACTTGAAAATGTGCAAATCCTAAAAGAAATGCAACAATGTTTTCGGCGGCTTGATGTATTTTATTTCTGGTTCATGGTTGGTATTTTTCGTTCAAACATTCCAGTTGAAGTTGAAAAGTCGAATTTGAAATTCAGATACATTTATAGCTGTGTCAGAAAGTTGTAATGCCGATTGTGATGACCAAGTTCAAATTCCGGCCTTGTTGAGTTTTGTTCCACATTAGAGGCCTAGGAAAAGGTATGAATCCATCCCATATGACAGTCCATTAGTAATGAATAAGAGAAAGACAATCCTGGTTTCAAAAACATGGGAAAATCAACGGTGAACATTTCCTTTATCTTTTCGAAGAAGTCATAAAAATTCATATGAGAAACAAAACGAATTTGTGGAAAGCCAAGATCGCCAACGTTATGAGGAGACAAAAAATAACATGACGCTTAGAACATCTCGAAAACCAATTCCTAAGAGTTGTCAGTCCAATTAGAAGCCTTTATATATATATATATATATATATATATATATATATATATATATACACACACACACACACACACACACACACACACATATATATATATATATATATAACTACAACAAAGATTATTGATGTCATGTGGCACATTTTTGAGATTTCGATTTCAAGGTCCTTGTATTTTGATAGCTTTTTGAAGATCTTCAAAGATACATTGCAGTTTTCGGGGACTTATTATTATTATTATTATCTGCGTAGGTAACCTTTTATATCAAGGTTAGGATTTATTAAACAAGAAGATAAAATTTAAATTCATCTAATGACTATATATTCACAAAGACGATTAATTATTAGGTAAAAAAGAAAAAAATAAATACAGTCGTCTCTCTTTCAATCATTTGAACCAATATTTCATAGCGAAGTTATCAGTTTTAGATTGACCACTCTTTATACTGATACTCCTTCATGAATAACTTTAGTCATTTTCTGTACTAACGAAATGAAATACCTTGGGAAATAGCGAAAACTAATATTAGTAATATTTTAATATCATTAACTCAAAATTTGTTTGAGAAATTTCAATGCGAAGTCTTCAAGTTGTGCATTGAACATCAAGCAAAATTGGATTGTCAGTGGTCAGGAATTAATGTCAATATTAATGACAGAACAGGCTTTATATATATATATATATATATATATATATATATATATATATATATATTTATTAAAGACATTTTTATGTTTAACATTCTTTTTATAGATACAAGTATTTAAGTAAATGCTCTGTTTATAATAAACTTGTATCTATAAAAAAAGAACATTAAACATAAAAATGTCTTTAATAAATATATTGTCGGACTTTGTCCATTTCTTAATATATATATATATATATATATATATATTTGAGTGTTGATTCCTATGTCGAAAAGTGTCGAATATATTAGGGATTCGTATATTTCTACCTCAGTATCACTTCGTATAATAAGATGTTCAGCATTTTTCCCTCATAAATATAGCAAGTATATGTTTTGTGCTTATGGCCACCTCACATTGAAACGCCGGTTCTCGTTCGATCACAGAAGTTAGGCAATGTTGAACCTGTTCAGTAGTCAGATGGGTAACCGCTGGGAAGTACCAGGTGCTGTAAGTCACGTGACAAACCACGAATCACGCTACTTATAGACTAACAGAAAAGACCTCGATATGTGGAGGGGCTTTTCTACTGACAGGATTTGGTTGACGGGTGCGTGGTATATATTGTCTCAATTATAGTAATGCCATTATAACTTTTTATAAGTTTTATTTATTTGTTTATTATAACATTTTCAGAAAGATTTGATATCAACCACTGGGAATCATACCACTGGGAATCATACCATTCGGAATCATGCCACTCGGAATCATACCATTCGGAACCATACCATTGGGAATCATATGTCCAGAATTCCTATCAGTATTTCTTGTCGTCTTTAACAATGCAGTAGTTTGTTTCAATTTTCGTTTTTTATATTAAAACCTCGATTTAAGGAATTAATTGGAAGATGGGAAAATGTATTCTTTTAATGCAATAAATCCTTCATTTCTAAACAAATTCTGTAGATCACCTCATTTAATGAAGATTGTTTTGTTAAATCTAAGACAGCCGACACGCAAATAGGCAATGTTATGTAGAACTATATAAAATATCAAATAAAACAATTGTACATCCATTTCCTTGCTTATATTGAGAGGACTTTTGGAAGAGATGCTGTAGATGTAATGTGCATTGGAATTTACTTTGGAATACACATAAAAAGACAACATGTAAATTGTTCTTGACAATTGGCTAAAATTTAAAAAAAATCAATATAGCAAATACAAATTATGAAAAAAAAAATCACTTCACACATTTATTAAAACAAGATTTATAAAAGCACATGACATCGAAAACTTATCCAATAAAAAATTTGATGGTGATGATGGTGATAGGCGTCGTTTTCTATGTGCCATGTCCATTCAGAACGTGGCCAGTAATGACTCTCCATAACTTCCTATCATTGTTAGTTTTTAGTTTTGTATTTTCATTATCCCTCCCACACCCTGTTCTTTCAACCATTTATACAAGTTCATTAGGTAGGGTCACCCGCTGTTTTCATTTGTTTCCTATGACTTCATTATGTCCTAGAAATTTCTCTTTTTGATTCTAAGTATAAGCCTCATTTTTGTTTCTATTTTCCTTCAAAATTCCTCATCATTTGAATTTACAGAACACATGGTATTTTCAATATCCCACTGCAGAAACACATTTCTATTGGCTCAAATTTCTTTGTTATTCGTGAGGAGATTGTCCAGTATTGACTGCCGTAGAGGTGAACTGATATGATGATAAACACAGAACAAAAAACATATCGATTAGAACGAGTATCTAAGTGAAAAGATTACGATGAACACGATAAACGATTTTTTTCTAGCATTTATCTAACCTCAATGAATGAAAATATTCGTTCGTTATGCTCCATATAATTCAGGAGTGGTTACTTAAATCGAGTAAAGTTTAATCGAACTTTTTCTATATGTCTCATTCTATTTGCTAGTGCAAAATTATTATAAGTATTAACGTCCATTTCGTATTCTATAATTTTTCCTTCATTTTCTGCTTCGTCCATTAAATGGCATCCGCCATTTGTTATACGTAATGTCAAATTTTGAATGGGGCACTCAGTGAGGATCGAACTCACTGTTCAGTAATTATGGTCAACCAGACTAATCTTGATAGCTATTACCGTTCGCCTGTAAGGGAAGAGACTTCAAGCTGACATTATCATTACTGTTCTAATTATAGTGTCAGATCTGCCATTTTTGATGATGGATACGTGGATTATCATTATAATTCCATAAGACACAATTGCGCCTGTAATGTCATTAGACATAGTGCACTTTGTAGATTGAATAAGGCTAAAGAAGAAGGTTTTCTGGTCTCAGTCAATGTTAAATAAAATTATTGACATTATTACATCAGTGACGCAGGCCAGCGTATGTTTGCCAGAGAACCTCAGGCATTACTTTTAAGAAGTTTAGAGATTAAATAACTTAAGAGATATTTTGATTGTAACAACTCATTGCTTGTTTAATATGATTATTGTGATTATTGTCTGCTACACTGTCGCAACAAAATTACATGGCGCTTACATAGAAGCACTTCTTAAATAGATTTCTCCAATAGAATATTTCATTGCCTTTGGCTTTGGTCTTTTAATTAACAGGACTGAATTTTGTTCTTACTTTTGGTAAATTTCTACCATTATCATCATTTTTATGCTTTGATTTTGTTGGTTAATTTCGTCGCAATTATATTAATTTTGACATTTTTGGTGATAGTTGCGGGTGATTAAGTGACAGCTAGTCTTTTCAAATTTCCAAAACCTTCCTCAGTATTTTATCAATTCAATAACGTAAGGCACGTATGTATGTATATAGACATGAACAGATAGATGGTAGTTTGGGTGACTGGTTAAAATATTCATTTTCTGTCTTTAAGACTTGGGTTCGAATCCCACTATTTGTCAGGTATAGGTGACTTCTTGATATTATCGACCAGGGTAGGCGATCCCAGCATGGGAAGTGCCTGAAAACTATACTAGAGATTGGCCCAAGCCTTGATAGTGAAATTGGGTAAACGGAACAGTTTGAAAGACGGTTTGAAAATTACTGCTCTCTTGTTCAAATCGCTGATCACTCCAGGTTATGCACTCTCTCCCAGAAACTTTAACTGAGGGTCTGCTAAGCATAGTTGCAGTATAAACCACAGGTGGCGTCTGTTGGCGTTGAACAAACACAAACGTGCCTGAGTAGTCGTCTGTGTGTGTGTACGGTTGCATCCATAGTAACTAGTGGTTTACAGTGGAGATTAAGTGACAACAAGTATCCACAATATACCAGCTCGCGTTTTAATATTTTAGTTCTTTTAAATAATATCGGCATTTGGATAGTTCCAGCCTTTCCCTATTTTTTTTAGTTTTTGTTCCAAGGCTCAGAGATTGTTCCCAGATCTCAGATAACTACTGGCACGACAGCCACTTTCATGTTCTACACCTTTATCGATTATCTGGAAACAAAGATACATTTATCTTTTGCCTTTGTTTCAGATCTTTTCTGCGGTTATCTGGAACAATGGAATTCATCATCAGGAATGTGTTCTTCTTGTTTACTACAAACAAATCTCGTTTGGATTGTTTGATCAATTTGAATCTCAAAGTATCAAAGATTTTGATGTCTGTTTTTCTTTCGGGCACATTATGATTTAATTTTGTGCTGATAATATTGTTTTGTGTGGTTAAAATGTCGTCGGTTGCACAGTTCTTAGTTGATCACCATTCTTACCCAATCATGGTTTACAATTGGATTGATATCCTCATGTTTTCATGGTTGTTAGTGTCACATCGCTTCGACCGTTGTGCTATTCGGTCTTCTTCTAGGGTGTTTCGGTCCGAGTAACCTTCAGTGAATTTTAAATGAAACCTTTATTGTTTTAATTCCGTTATCCATCTTGTCTTTTGTTGTCTTTATTCTACCCCTCACTTATTGCTCGTCCTGCTTCATTGAGTCCAATGAACTAGAGTAAAGTGTCTGTTGTGAATTGTGATCTCAATCCCTGGACTGGGTAGTATTATGTAAGATATTGATATATTTGTTCGAAGTAGCAAAGTGGTTGTTGACTACTGTAACCGGGTAGGGCAATCTAGCAGGTAACCGTAATGGACTGGTCCTCGTCGTAGTGGTAGGCAATAGGCGAAATCAATAGGCGTAGTTTATGTACCTCCACATCAGTCTGTATTTATGGCTGACACCAGCCAGTCATATTACTGTGAGGGGGAAACCATGTGTATGCATATTCATTACATCAGATATTAACCCTAAATACAGGTACGAATTTTTATAAAAGTAGTTTTTTTAACATATCAGGATTATCTTATTTATATTAATAAACATTAATAGTTGAACCTTATCAAATCAAAAGGGATAGCATTTGGTATTATCTGTTACTAAATTCTGCAGGATTTAAATTTTCGTGATAAAAAATATATGAATATTCAGCAGTCTATATTAAGTATACAACTACAAAAGAAGTTATTTCAAATCAGTTTTTGGTGGGGATATCTTTACATTTTTTTTAATTACTTCTTATAGTCTTCAATGAAATTGACCTGACCGGAGCTTCACTGAAATGTTTTCCTACTTTGACTGTTGACAGTCTGCTTAATGTTGTCTTGCTGGACCAACAGGCGTTTTCTTATTTTCCGTATAAGTGTTCAATTAATTCTAAATAACGTCACATACAATTTCCAAATATTTTCAACAAGAATATTGTTCCTTTTTACAGTGATTTCAAATTTACGGTTCATTTCCTAAAATCTGACTAAAAATCAGAAATATTGCAGAAAAGGGCCGACTGGATAGGTATATAGGTATTAATCCATCTCTTAAACCCTCATCTATGGATTAATTTGTAAGACAAACTAAGATTCAGCCTTAGGTGGCAACCAGTCTAGAAGAAGGATAACTCTGAATTAAAAGTCATTTGTAGCCTTTGGTATGCACATACTGAAATGATTGCGCAATTTATAGTGAATACAACCGATCTGATGAATGAATGGACATCTGTATCAGTTGCCAGCATATGCGAATATTTCGTATCGATGTTTTTACATATGAAATATTGGAGCTTTTGGAATCATTTCCATAACTGATTGTTATATTTTGTAACAGGGCTTCTGGATCAAAAGGGAAGAAACTGACGTTCAAAAGTTTGTGGCCACATCACATAAACCAAAACAGGTACAGAGATTGAAAAGAGAAAAATATCTCTAACTAAAACTCATTCTATAATTTATTACAATAAGTTACTAAACATTGTTCATATTTCACGAAGCTTCTTTGAACTTGAATAATTGCTTCAGTGCGAATGGAAATGGATACCTACAAATTCATCAGCATAAATTAGAGGAATATAATAATATTCTCTCTGGTGTACCATAAACTTTTTCTGATCGATATTTTTTTTAATTAAATGCTATTTTCTTAGTCGATATGCACCCATTGAGTTAATGCTATCTACTGACACCCAATTGGACAAGTCGCATTCTTCCGTTACTTTCATCTTCCTTTGGTT